AGCAAAGGGTCTGAATACTTATGACCATGTGATATTTCAGTTTTTCTTTTTTAATAAATCTGCAAAAATGTCAAAACTTCTGTGTTTTTCTGTCAATATGGGGTGCTGTGTGTACATTAATGAGGAAAAAAATGAACTTAAATGATTTTAGCATATGGCTGCAATATAACAAAGAGTGAAAAATTTAAGGGGGTCTGAATACTTTCCGTACCCACTGTATATCCTATATTTAAAATATAGCTGGTGTTTTGACCCACAGGTCTGCTTCAACGTAAGTAAGAGAAGCTACAGGGACAGTCCGCTAATCATCCTGAGATGTGGCTAATGTAGCCAGCTGTCAACGATGCCAACTTGTAGCTTCACCTCTTTGAGCATGTTGTAGCTACTTGTTTTCCACAAAGACACTTTACACACCATGTAGTCTGAACTGAACCACTTAGAATATGTAATCTCTGTATACACACAACTTTTAACACAGTTTTACGTTTACTGAGAAACTGCACATACACACAGCACTGACATTTTTGCTGAGCCCTGGCCTAAAATCCCAGCGTCATCTTAGATTTGATTCTTATCTTGACTTGTAAATAAATAAAACTAAAGAAAAGAAAGAAATTAAAAGTTAAACTCTACCTGTTTGTGTTCGTCCATTGGCTGCAGGTCGTTAAATCAAACGGTTCAGATCTCCAGCTGAGGGGAGAACGTGCCTTGGGATTAGTGTTCAGACAAAAACGCTTCTCAACCGGAGTACTAGTCTTCACCGTAAGATAAATCAAAATACAGAATAAAATGCTACAGTTACTGTAAATTAGCAGTAGAAAACCCAGACAAGATGAATCTGTCAGGATTTTACTAACTAAATACAGTTTATAACTAATACAGTTTTTAAGATTTCAAACTGACAAATGTACAACATCTCCAGATCTGTTTAGGTTGAGCTGCACCAGTAAGTTGAAGACACTTCATCTGTGACTATTTTGATAAACTGAATAAGTAATTTAAGTAATTTCTTTTTTTTTTTTTTTTTTTGGTGAAATGTCAAAGATGTGTTC